TTCTGGGGGGTCACATCCTGAGGCGTCGGGAAGCACAGCCTCATTGTTCCAGACGCAGCAGTGTTTTGAGTGCGTAACTAGACAAACTGTTTCTCAGAAGCAATATAACTCTTCCTGGATATGAAACGGAGGCCATAGAAACCAGCAGGCACATGAAACAGTAATACGCCACTGGATGACAAACTGTTAGCAAAAATGAGTGACCCTGCAAGAGCGTTACAGCACCAAGGCCACAATCCAGTGCAGACTCGCTCGGAGTTGGATTGTGGCCAGCATCTTAGAAACTAAAAGAAGGACCTCTCTCTCTCTCTCCTACAGCCTTTGTGTTTCAGCTTGCTAAGAGGATCCCTGGGTATTTTGCCCTTCCATTTCAACACCGGTGACCATTTATTTTTTAATAACTATGCGTTAGGACTGTTAATTGTTTCCAGAGAAAAGCATACAGAACAAAGGTGAATAAAATGGTGGTATAAACTGGATCTAACCCGACAGCACATGCGTTAGGTCAGGAAATCTGCCCACTGTTTCAGCCTTATAAGAGAAAGGGGTTCTATCTGGATGGGAACGTAACATGAAATGGTAACAGAAGCCACCGTTTAGTCGAAAGCAGTGGCTGCGGTTGGGTTCTCCCGAACCATAACTGGAATACACATCTTCTTTTGGGTCTTGAGGTAATAAGTTAAATAAGCACCAAGAGGATTTGCTCCCCGCCGTTCTGGAGCAATTTCTTTCTTTTTTTCTTTTTACAGATTTTTCATGCAGACTTGGCATCGGCTGATGTGAGTTCGGATGAGTCCTGCCTTCAGCGTATCCGAAGAGGGCGAGTGTTGAAACTGGGTGTCGATGGTCGTGAGCCAGAAGCTGTACTTGTTGGCAAAGTAGTGGCAAGTCCCCTGAGCGCCGTTGCATTCGATGAAGGGGGTTGCCCGGAAATCCTCCAGGCAGCTGCCTGGCGAGACGAGAGACTGGCCCCCTCCTTCAGCGCCAGCGGCCGTGTGCTAGGAAAGACCGAGAGAGAACAGGGTTCAAATACACAGGTATGTGATCTGGAACAATGCTTTCATTGGCCTGCACTGATTCCCACCAATTTCCTCCTCAGGACTTGGGAGAGGCGCCCCCCCCCCTCAAGGTACCAGTATTCACTGCCGGTGAGAACCGCCACATAAAAAGCCCTGCCTAAATGTCTACAGATAAAGAAGCGATATACCTTCTAAACTAGCTTGAGGCAGAAAGAAGAAGAAGAAGAAGAGATTGGATTTATACCCCGTCCTTCACTACCCAAAGGAGTTTCAGAGCGGCTTACAAACTCCTTTCCCTTCCCCTCCCCACAACAGGCACCCTGTGAGGTAGGTGGGGCTGAGAGAACTCTGACAGAAACTGCTGACAAGAAACTGCTCTCACAAAGAACAGCTGTGCCAGAACTATGGCTTGCCCAAGGTCATCCAGCCAGGTGCAAGTGGAGGAGTGGGGAATCAAACCCGGTTCTCCCAGATTAGAGTCCGCGCACTTAACCACTACACCAAACTGGCTCTCATTAGTTTGGTGTAGTGGTTAAGAGCGCAGACTCTAATCTGGGAGAACCAGGTTTGATTCCCCACTCCTCTACATGCAGCCAGCTGGGTGACCTTGGGTCCGTCACAGTTCTCTCAGAGCAGTTCCCTCAGAGCTCTCTCAGCCTCACCTCACAGGGTGTCTGTTGTGGGGAGGGGAGACTGTAAACGACTCTGAGACGCCAAGTGAAGGGCGGGGTATAAATCCCATCTTTTCTTCTTCTGCCTCCTTTATGTTGGAGCAGGTGTAACAATTACCGAGCTACTCGAGGGGGAAAAGATTAGCTGCCTCAGCGTGGTGTTCTGGTGTGTCGCCGGGGAGAAGTGATGTCTAAACCTAAAGAACTAAAGGCTGCAATATCGGCAAGTGTTCGTGTGGTGTACTTCAGACATCCGGGCTCTCTATTAAATACGCACACGCCTAGCCTTACTTAGGGTCAAACAACACCTTTAGGTTTTTAACAAGCTGGGTCTGGGACGTTTCCCGGAGCCACATGGCAGCTATGCGAAATGGCTTTTTAATGAAGGAGAGCCCAAATCGGCTCAGAATGCTGCCGTGGGAGGGAGGAATGGCTCCTGCCTTCCCTCCCAAGCCATTTCCACATGCTGAAACAGCACCAGGGGGAGTTATTTCCCTGTTTTTGCTGCTCCATGGGCACGGTGCTGTTCCAAGCCCATCTGTGCTCTGTTTTTTTTAAAAGCCATTCCCCACAGCTGCTGTGCCGCTATGCAGAACCCGAGTCCCCTGGACCCAATTTGTTAAAAACCCAAATGTGTAGCATGGTCTTTAGCAAAACGGCACAAGAAGCAGGAAATGAGAATGTGAAACACACGGCAAATCAGCCTGTCTCGCGCTAGAAAAAGGATCTGGCCTGAGAAATCAGATCTCGTTACTTCAGAGGGAGCTCAGTTTTGAAACTGCAAGTAGATAAATAGGTACCGCTTCGGTGGGAAGGTAACAGCGTTCCGTGCACCTCGGCGTCTAGTCATGCCGGCCACATGACCGCGGAGAAGTCTTCGGACAACGCTGGCTCTTCGGCTTGGAAATGGAGATGAGCACCGCATCCCTAGAGTCGCATTCGACTGGCTTTCGAGCAAGGGAAACCTTTACCTTTACTATGTTAGTTCATTAGTTCATCTTACCACATTTACTTGTGGCAATGTCTGGGAAAGGAAGCA